GCACACCAGCACACACTCAGACACACAGACACCCCCCCGCCTACCATTAGCGATTGCTAATGGACTGTCTTCAAGTCCTGGGAGAATAAGTCCCTTCACCACTTATTTCTGCTGGGTTCCATTTGTCTCCCTGTAGTACACCTGATGGACTTTTGGAGACCTGTTGGCCAAAAGAATACAGGAGGGGAATTCGGGTCAGTGTGTTCCATTTTCTGTTGGACCACTGGTTAGTTGTTTGCTTTCTTGGTCATGTGGCTGGCCGGTTTCCTAACTGGCTGGCACTGGAAATCCATTGAAATGCTTGACTCATCACCCTTTCCACCCTATCTTCCTTTAAAACAATGAAGGGACTTTTCTCATAGAAAGGGGTTGGTTATTTTAGAAACACACGCATAGCACCAACAGGATCACCTACCCAACACACCAGAAAAACCCCAGCTTTGAATGACATGAACATGGCCCTTCCGGTTTCTAATTTGTTTTGAACTGATATGATTTTTTTCATCTGTTTCCCACATTACTGGAACTGACTACTCCTTCTCCCAGGTCGTTATGTATCCCTCTCCTTAGAGAGCTCACGTCTCTCTTGACAGGCCCTGCCATGAGAAGTCAAGAGCAAAGAACACCAGTTGGAGCCAGTGGAAACCCAAAATGATGGACTCCAACAGAGCACGACTATTTCTTTCTGGGAAACCTAGGGAGGCCTGAATCCATATCAGACTGCAGATAGCATTGCTTCCCTTGCACCAGGATCTGGTATCATCTCCACTTGCCCCGAACACTGCACGTTCGCAGGCTCCATGTGTTTCCTTCACGGGTGTTTTTCCCTTGCACCCACAAGCAACTAAGCGTGTCGACCAACCTTCCCCACAAACATGGAGATGGCCAACTAGCAATTTCCCACTCACGTGACTCCTATTGACGCTGTCTGATTTCAGTCCCCTGCCTGGCTCCACAAGTGTTGCTTCACAAGCAGCCTGGGAGCTGACAGGGTGTCAGTGGAAACATGCTCCACAGATGCTAAAGGATTTAAGACACCAAACTAAGTGGCTAACCAGTCCCGATTCGCAGGGGGAAGTTTGAAAATACCAGGACACTTACAAAATCAAAATTTAAAAAAAATAAAAATTAAATGAAAGGGAAAAATGAAAACACTCAAATGAAAAATGTTGAAAGTCCAATACATAAAAAATAAATGTAAACAAAGAAAAGAAAGATAACAAACAATGTAATGCAAGACAAGGGAACTTAATTATGAGGCTCATCTTGGGTGGCCAAAGGTGACTCGAGTTCCACACCCACTTGCCGCAATCTGAAGTGATTGTGGAGGGCCTTCACTGGGTCTGGTCCTACACAGAGTCCCAGAGTCACAACCCCACGATTTGATGTCAGGGCTGTAATCCGCGAGAAAAGCTAGTGGGAGTGGGAAAGGCACATTGCATCCAGAGGAGAAGGGGCTGGGCATGTCCACCTGCCCAGCGCAAGGACTTGGCTCAAGTGGTCCCGATGTCTTCCTGAAGACCTCTTCCGCCACAGGTCTGAACCACTGAAGGCAGGGGTACGACAGGTAGCTGTCAAAATGATTGGGGGTGGGCCAACAAGTGGTGGGCCATCTGGGCATTGATAAGTCCCATGCTCCCGGTCCTGCCCAGTGAACCAGCCTGCACTATGGAACCCAAGTAACTCCACCAGCATTGCTCCCGCCAGCACATCAAGGAGTAAGATTCCATCAGATACTCTGCTATCTGCGTGCATTGCCCAAAGGCCTGATAATGTTCAAGGATTCGGGAAAGTAGAAAGGAACACCCTGATTGCTGGCACACATGGACGTCATCCTTGGAGGATTGGGGGAAGGGGATAAAAAGAGGCTTGCATATGGCTACCGTCAGAATGAAAACTGAAGTTCGTGGCCAGCATTCCCACCAGAGTCCCTCTTTGCATATCGGCAAGCTAGATGTCAGGTGGCAGAGAAC